CTGATCTTTTCCTAATGACTGCCACATACCTTCTTCAAGGCTATCTCAGTATTCCTCTATAGCCGTGTTTCTCAACCTCAGCAATTTTAAGATGTCTTGACTTCAACTCCCAGAATTCTGCAGGCAGCATGCTGGGTGGGGAATTCTGGGAGTTGAAGTCCACACATCTGAAAGTAGCTGAAGTTGAGAAACACTGCTCTATAGCACATGAGGGCATGAAGCAGCATGACAGAGCCCACAGGGTGGAAGGATGTAGTCTTTAACATTCATTCCCAGAACTCCTCTGGGTCTTCACATCCTGGCTCCAGCTTCTGTCCTTTGGAGTAGTGGCTTGGTAGTTCTCATTGCCATCACCCATCTTCTAGGAAGCACCTTGCCTGACTTCCTCTCCCCTAACTTCATAATGTAGGAGAGAGAGCAGGCACGGTCAAGGAAGCAAGAATCACACAGATTTCAATAGGGAAATTTAATATAAGGATTAGAGGAAAACTATCTTGGAAACAGGGATAGGAACTTCCACCCCTCTATTATTAGCAAGTTCATTAAAGTGAAGTCTTTTTAAACATTTTAATCTCTTCTTCCCAGGTTTTCTGCAGCCTAGACTGAGCTGCCATTGCCTAGATAAGCCACTAATAAATTCTCCCATCTGTTGATTGTTTACATCTAGAGATCCTCTGGTTTCTTTCTCAGCCTTCTTGCAATCTCTCCCATTCCAGCCCTGTCCCTCATGTAGGACATTATTCTGTCATAACCCAAGCTGAATGAAAAAGAGAGAGAGAGATCGGAGTTGCAATGGAAGTTGGGCCCACCAGCAGCACCTGTCTTTCCTTTTACTGGTAACAAATGCCAGCCACCAATTCCCCCATGCACTGAGCAGGGTGGGCATTGCTCCCATCATTTCAGGGTCCCACCACTTCTCTGATATGCTATTTCAAGCCACCACAAGCAGTTTTTATTACAATACTACCTCTAGCTGTTTAGGGAACAGTAGCAGACAAGAGACTGGGGGAGTGGAGGGAGGGAGGTTTATATCACCCTACAAATCAGTCAGAGCCTCACTTATCCCACTTACTATGTACTGGTTACCTAGTTTCCATCAAGTTTAACCGACAGTGAAGCATAGGAGATTTTATACATCTGGCAGCTGTATTATTATTATGGTTGGTTGCACAGTCAGCCAGATGTTTAGACTGGATTTGGCATTTTTATCCACCTATCAAGTCCTTCCCAGAAACCTGGGATAGGCAGATGTTGTTGTCTGATGGTGTTAAAGGTATCGTCGCAGGATGTAAG